TGGCTAGATCAATAGTCCGGAGCAATGATACAGTGGTTATATTTGAAGATCTATGTGCTGATCATTAGCTCGGAAGAATTTGCTGAGCCACAGATTGTGCGACAAAAAATAGGTGGATCACCAGACAGGTTTGTGCGACATATTAATTTTCGCATATATATTTGAAAAAGAAAACATATTAACCTTTGTTCTTTATTTTTTCCTGAACACTCATGAGAAAAATATGAAAGAGCGTCTACTTGCAACACAGGACCAGCTCTAAAAGTAAATATTGTCGGCAAAAGCATATGTTATGAAAGGCTGAAGGACTCGCAATTTCAAGATCGCCAGGCGTAAAGCTACTTTGAGTCTTTCCGGTAGATCTCCATGTGAAAAGGTAAGAAGATTCCGTTTACATGTGCTTTCATGGGACTCTTGGCATCATATGACAATGCTAATCACTATTCTTACCTCCTTATCTTTCCCTTCCCAACAGCAAGATATAAAGCATGTAGTGGTATGTGGAAGTTCAGCCAACTTCTCGCAAAAAATTTCCTAGAAAACATAACGCAAAATAAGGTATGTATATGCCCTAAATTATGTATGTATGGGAGCGAGTTTTCTCACTATGGGCTCTTGTATTTAGGAAAGCAAGATGATGGACACCGATTACTTAGAACTTACCATTAAAGATGGTAACAATAAATTCGTAGTCTGTACTTTTCAGTCTGGCGGTGTCAGAGGACTCAAAACCTTTATCGAAGATCAAATTGATACCCCCAAATTTGATCTCTATAAAAATAGCGTACACCCAAAAAATCTTATGAATACAAACGACTCACTTGGTCATTATTTTGATATTGAAAAAGATAATAATAAAACGGTTATTGTGCACCCCACAACCCCCAAAACTCCCTCTACTAAGTAGTTAGGAATTTTTATATGTATTTTTATTCACAACATGTATCAGCGATATGTTCGCAATTTTTATGTATTGTAGGCCGACTTCCGGCAACGTTTTTATTTCATAAATAAAGTATTATTATTTTATCGGTACATGAGAAATGGGTCACGTGTAATGATGCAATGCCTGTGCTACATAAAAACCTATATTAATGGCCAGTATTCTCTTTCCCGAACAGAAATAAAATTTTATCTTACTCCGGAACGTAACACTATTTTTTTGTCCGAGCCAAATATTACTATAAAAGCGCTATGTCTACCTCAACAGCTGAACACGACTCTTACTTGGTTGAGAACTGGGATACAGAAACCCTTATAGATTTTTTGAAAGAGCAGAACCTCAAGCTCGACGACGATGACTTGGGAATACTTCGCAAGAAAAAAATTAATGGACTCTCTTTTCTTGAGATGACCAAAGAAGATTTCAATGAATGTGGGTTGGAAATAGGACCAGCAATATTACTTGCAAAAGAGGCTAAGACCCTCAAAGAAAAGCCGAAGCGTGCGTTCTCCTCGTACCGCAGTTTGGAGGAAGTGTTAGAAAAATACGGCATTAAAAGTAGTAGTATAACGAGCATCCCTCAGTTCACACCAGGTAATTTATGCCAACTTTTTTTTCGTTATAAATTTCCATTGACTTACGCATTCTCCATTTATAGTCCCCCACCCAATCGATGAAAAATCTCCAGAGTTTAAGCTCTGCATTGATGACATTCTTCGTAGGATAAAAAACATGGGGCCAGTCGTAGATAGTAATGAGGCTATGCGTTGCGAATACATTTTTACAATCCTTCATACTGCTGTCAGCATCCTCGGAGGATTGGTAATCTTGCCTCAGATGAATGTCTCTGGTGAAGAAAGTTCCGGCCATGTCGATTTAATTTTATATTTAGAATTAGTCACCTCTAAGTTAATGTAAAAATGCCACAACGCTGTCAACAACCTTGTTGCCGAAAAGGAGCTTCATTTGGTCCAAAAGATTCAAAAACTCCACGCTATTGTGCTACGCATAAACTAGTTGATTATGTCAACGTAAAGACACAGTGTCAAGAAGATGGTTGTTACAAGTTTTCTCATTTCGGTTTCCCTGGGTCAACAGCAACTTCATGCGTCACTCATATGAAAGAAGGGATGATTCCCTTAAGGGTCAGAAAATGTTTAGAGCCTGAATGTACTACACGTGCGGTTTTTAATGTTATTGGCTCGGATAAGGGCAAATTCTGCGCTAAACACAAAAAACCAGAAATGATTGATATCCAAACTAAACTTTGTAAATACCCGGGTTGTCAAAAAAAGGCACTCTTTGCTGTAGTGGGGTCATCACGGACTTTCTGTGGTCAGCATAAGCAGGCTGGCATGATTAACATTGCAAGCAGAAAGTGCGCACACTCAGATTGTTATACTCGTCCTTATTTTAATGTCCCAGGAAAAACACAAGGCCAATACTGCGCTAGACACAAAACAGCTGATATGGTTAATGTAGTAAATCGTCGGTGTGAGAAAGCTGGTTGCATGACCATACCAACTTTTAATCTTTTTGGAGAAAAAAGTGCACGTTTCTGTGAAGCTCACCGAAACCCTGGAATGGTCAATGTTGTTGGCCCAAAGTGTAATAATATTAGTTGCCAAAAAAGAGCGCTATATGGAATACCTGGCTATAAAATGTCACGATGCTTCACACATAAAGATAAAGGTATGATAGTGCAATCTTCACGTTTATGCATGATTTCAGATTGTAAAAAGCCTGCTACTCATGGAATTTCTAATCCAACTAGTTGCGAAGAGCACTCTACAGATGACATGCTTGACCTAGTCCAAAAAACATGTTCCAATTGCGGTTTACCTAACATTCTTTTACAGGATAATAAGTGCGCTGAATGTAGCACTTATGCTGAAGTAAAAGTAAGAGTACGTTTGGCGAAACAATTTCGGGTGAAGTATATTCTAGATGAAAACAATATTGTGTATGAAGCTTATGATTCCATTGTAGGAGATGAGGGATGTTCAAAAAAGCGCCCTGACTTTGTTATTGATGCAGGCACACATAAAGTTATACTGGAAGTGGATGAGTATCAACACAAGAAAGGGGAATATAACTGTGAGGTAAAAAGAATGTGGGTCATTGCACAAGCACTTGGTATTCCCACTCTGTTTATTCGTTATAATCCAGATAGTTATAAAACCTCCAACGGAATTACAAGGGATAGTAACGACAAAGAGAGAAAACAAGAATTGTTAACGTGCTTGCGCGATGCAATAAAGTCTCCGCCTGCTGAAGAATCACAATTCCTTCGAGTTATCTACTTATTTTATGATGAATATGACAGCACTAAATACAAGATAACGACTATACCAGAAGTTTGGTTCAAGAATGAAATACATGCTTAATTTCTTAAGCATTATTAATATGTATATACTATATATACATTATTGAAATATTATCTTTTTAACCGTGTATACAACATTAGAGTAAAAATATTTTCCCAAAAAGTATCAGATATGAAGAGACTATTGATTTAAATGCACACTGAAATGAAATTAGTAAACACTTTATTCTGTGAAGCAAGGAATTCTTAAAAACTACATAAATAAAACAATATAAAATTTTTTAAGCTAATTTAGATCTGATACTCCAATATAACTTCTTAAGTGAAAAAAAGAATTCCTAAAAACAGCGTAAATGAAATTACATAATATTTTTTTTAAGCTATGAAATATTTAATATTCTTTGCTAAAATATACATTAATCATTCTGAATATCTATATCCATCACTGCACATATGTTGATAGATGTCTTGTATATATTCTCAAGTATAAAACTGGCAAGTGCACTAGGTCGGAACGGAGGTTCACGAAACCACTGTGCCTCACGCAGACACTGTAAATACACATCCCGTGTTTTCGTTCCTGAATACAAAGAAAGTGGCACCACAGTGAACCTTGATAGTAAATAACTCAAAAGTAACCTAGCCACTCTCCCATTTCCATTCATAAAAGGATGAATAAACAAGAAATGAGCAAGAAAACACGCCCCAAATTTGACAGCTTCCTCTAATTCCAAGTCCTCTTTCGCGAATTCTTCTCGACAATGACGGAATAGCACTTCCATTTTGTTTTCTATCAAATTTGGTGCCAAATAAACAAAATTATCTTGTGATGCCATAACATATTGCGTTCTGTACTGACCCACATTGTCAATCAACCCGTTGCCAACTTGTTGGTGCAACTGCTTTGCGAACATAGGTGTAAAGCGATTCACTGGAAGATCGGGAAAGAAGATGTACGGGAAAATGCCGTTAATGGTATCGCGGAGGTTTTGAACTTTTTTAGCTAAACGAGAAGAACGAGAAGGGCCGAAAATTATTCTGTGAATATAATTTCCAAACATTTTTCTGCAAATGAAGCTAGCCAAGCGTGAAAAAGGATCAAAAAGTATTCTGGGAAACATTATTTCGCGAATGTAGCTCAGAAAAATCTTAAACCATGATTTGTTCAATAGCTGTCGTATAACATCGAGGTCTATATCGCCTTCTGCTGAAATGCATTCGATCAAATAACGTTCACGATGAAGGTCCATGTAACCTTGCCAAAAGAGTTCTTCCTCGTTACCGACGGATAATGATATGGCTCTTTGGAGACGCTCGGTATTTGAGATGAAATACTGGGTATTGCGATCATCATAATCTGGTCTCCACCAAGGCTTATCCGTGAAGTTAAAGTTGGAATGTATTAAAGCCATCTTGTATAAAAAAAAACAAATGTTCTGTATTTCAAGGAGACAGAAACAAAACGCGTATTTAACATGTAGGGCGTGACACCTCATAGGAAGACTTTCATGTGATTGGCCAGTCAGGTTACACAAATTTTGAAATTGATATTGTAAATATTTATATAT